TTATTTCTATACTTCAGTCAAAGGACCATGACACAGTGCTATGTCTAGATCTAGCTTTTTGGAACATGTTGGTAGAAGTGTTGGAGTGGTAGAGACGAAAGCAGCTGTTCATCAAAAGTTACAAACTCAGCTGGACAGTAGCATGCAGTATGTGTTATTGTCCATATATTAATATACATGTTGTATGTTTTACCCAATTGTTTCAAGACATAAAATGTAATCTGAGTTGCCAACATCCTAGAGAATGAGTAATGATTCACAAAAGAGAAATATTGATTGCATAAACGTATTTCTTTTTATTTTTTTTTAATCATCAAATTATTAACAAGAAGATTGAGGTTTCCTTGTCCACTAGATTCTTCCTTTGCAAACAAAGTTTTTCTGAAATAAATCAACTTCTACCTTTTACCATCATAGTTTTTCTGTAGCTGGGTTACTTGCCTTTCAATTCACTTTAGGCTAAATAATTCATTTGCAAGTAGAACCACGTGCCTTATCCCATTTATGCAGTGATCTGTGAAGCCATCATATGTTTTAAAATACTTCTAAAAAATCATACAGGATTTATTTCACTAATAGGGATTTAAAAAAAAAAAATGAAACCCAAAACATAATATAGTAATATATATTTTTGCATTAATTCTGTAAAATAGCTTATAGAAACCTGCTGTTAGTCTGTTTGCATCATTTTCTCTGTAAAGATAGCAGTGTGATAGAACTTCTTTTGTTGAAAAAGTTCAATACAAGTACTAAGTAGTGCAGCTTCTATCTCCCTGTCTGTGATAGTCAATTGAGTGTCACTTATCCTTGTGATACTGTGATATGCAATATTTCAGATTAGACACATTGTTGCAACAATCATTGTGCTATTAAATGCCATATAAGCTTTTAAACCTTGTCATTTGCAAGTCCATTGTTTTAGGAAGTTTTGATTATTCTAACATAGCATTGCACATAATGATGACAAATAAGAAAACAGTGGAAATAATAGGGAGGATAACACTTTGTAATTAATAATGAATTTTAATGAATTCTTTTTTTATTATTTAAAATAATACTATGCATTGTATGTTTCTTATGTATTTGCTAGAAAGGAAAAAATCTATAGTATAATAATTGCAGTAAATTTACAAATGCTATGTAGAGACTATTTATAAAAATATGAATTTTGAAAGAAATCAGATGTCATCCTGATCACATCACAGGTATGAACTGGTAGCATTATTCAGAGATTTACTATCTCCTTCACAAAGGGAAAGTTTTTTCAATAATTTACGTTTTGTCATGAGCTTAAACTAGTACTATTATGCTGGACCTGCAGTTTACATTCATCATTCCTCTGCTGCTTATATTTCTTGGGCTGAACTCTTAAATTCTAGGATTTGGGAATCTATTTATTATACTGAGTACTCAACAACATAGCCCTGATTCCTTGGGTAATTGCTCTTGTGGTTTTTCTAATCCATCTCTTTATTTCCTAATCTGTCGCACTGTTAGTGACTCCAAAACTCTGAACAATAGTAGTTCTTTTTAATCTTTTTAATTCTAGCTTTTTTTTTTTTGTTTACAGATTGACCAAAAGTAGTTCTCCACATTTATCTGAACTCACACAATTAATTGCTCCTATATTAAGTTTTTGATACTACTTAGTTTTTGTGCCTGCATTCCCTGTTTCTGGTTTTATAGCATCATTCTTGTTCAGCTGGACTACCATGCATTTAAGTGGAATGTGATGGTGATAACCAGGTCATCATCTGCCATTTGCAAAGCACAATGAAAATAATGAATAAATAATAATAAGCTTTCCACTCAGGTGAGTGTGGGGTCAGTAAACAAATTCATGATGCCATGAATGTAGCACATGTAGGAGAATTTCGGAGTCCTATGGTGAGAAGAAATATGAAATAATACTTTATAATGCAGACGTCTCTCCAGAAGGTGTGTGCGTAGCCTTATTTAAATGTAGCATAATGACTGAGGACCCTTTGTTGAGACTTAGAAGAGCTTTTATTTCTTAATAGTCGACTATAATCAAATCAAAGTGTGGTACTTGTACTTCTTCGGTATGTGAGTTGACATGAGAATGCATTTTGTGCTTGCAAGAGTATAACCTATTCCCTTGATGGCAGCAGAGATGCTGTCGTCTATCTTGAATCCAGATGTGCGCATATAATTGCAGCAGTAGTGAACTGTAAAAGAACTATGTTTTAATTGAGAAATGGAGCTAATATTTGTTTCCTACTTTTGGTGGCCTGAGTTATTAATTCTGACTTCTAAGCACAGAAATTAAGGATTTTTCTTTGTATTGTTCGTACTGCACATTAAACATCAACAGGGATCATCTTCAAAATTTAGCAGAGATCATTCCAACTTTCTGCATGATACCAAAAAAAATAATAATAAAAAAATCTGGCAGTGTTTTTTAAACAAGTTTTTGAGGTATTATTTAATAAAAATATTTTTTCAGTTGACTTGACAACCATATGTAATGCTAGTGGACTTTATTTGACCAAGGCTTTTGTCAAAATACTTTTAAACTGAGATTATTAAAATATAGTTTAGTTGCATAGTGTGAGTTGACATATTGCTAATATTTTAGTTAGGAAATGCGTTCTATAGGTTGCTTCCTACTTTCATATTATATTTTCCTTATATAGTCTTTAACCAGAATGGGTGGAGTATTTTAATATATCAGTGAAAAAATAATGCTTCTGTTCTTGAAACAGAATTTGATTTATTTCCATATAGATAGAATCTACTACTTGTTAAACTACAGCACTGTCTTTGTTAATTACATTTTTTCAGACTGTTATAAAGCTATTCTCTTACCCCAAATTCCTTTGTCTTCCTCCCACATGCACATGATGTTTCTTTACTCTTGCATGAGGTTGAATGATCACAGCTGCAGGAGAGAGGAGGTTATAGACAGAGAGGGCAATGTGCCCCATGCTAGCATAATAAATTCTATAGAAAGACCACTGTAACCTTACACAAACACAGTTTCTGTGGTGGCTTTGTTTTAGTGATGTTTCTGTGTAATGGTGGCTAGTGGAATTGTTTTTTGAAACAGTGAAGACCTTTGTTCAGCTCAGCAGACATTTTACTGTGTGATTTTACAGAGTAGTTTGTGACAAAGGCTGACTTGAAGAATTGCTCTTCAGAGTGAATGGGAAGTAACAGTAATCAGATTTTTTTATTATTACTTTTAATTTAAAAAATGTTTTAAATAACATATAAATGTGTTAGTTCCCACTCTGCATTAATGGGAGCCATCAATTCTGTAATAAATTGTGCAAATAAGATTTTGTGTACTTGTATGGTGTAAATGCTTTATTTCATGTCATAGTATATATATGATACTAATAAATGTATCAATAAATGAGCACTTTTGCAGTGCATATATAACTTGAAGAGGTGTAATCCAAATCTATTTCTTGTGCAGTGAGTAAAAAGTGAAGTATCATTAGATTTTCTGTCTTCTTCCGTAGTTCTTATGGACATAACTCTGGCGATAAGGACATCCCAAATTCTGCATGTGAGGCATGTAAGGAGAATGTAAGGAGGGTGCAAAGGCACGTCCGTTAGTTGTTTTGTCCCATTCAGGCAGTTCAGGGAAAGACAGAAGCTGAGAGTCTGACAGATTTATTTACCTCGGTTACACTGTTTACAACTAACAAAATTATCCAATTCATGCAGAGGCAGCTGTTCCAGTGCTCCGGACTGTGGGGTGTACACGTTACTGTAAGAGACTGAGCACTCTGATAGGCAAGATAAAGCCCTACACGGCATTTAAATTCATTTTATTAGTAAACACAAGGTAATGCAACTTGCAAAATTATATAAAATATGATTTAGTGAGTGGAGAAGAAAAGTGAGCTGGTGTTTTCAGTGATGAGTGGCAGGCCTTTTTTGCCCTTTGGCACTGCAGTGTGGTGAAATATGAAGAAGCATGATGTACTCTAGTTTTTCTACAGAAGCAGCAAACTTCTCCCACCTTTGCAGTCTCTAAGTGTTTTGACTGCTCTTTGGATGAAGGAATCAATATAAGCTATAAAGCTTTATTCACTCTAAAGTTTTACTTTTCTGCAGAGTGGACTAGGGCTGCAAAATTCTAGCATCTCTTTGAATCCAGTGGGAATCTATTCTCCAGTGCTCTGGAGAGTAGTCCCATGATCATTTACAAATCTTCAAAAGCAGCTGAGAGTATTTTGATTTCTCTTAGTGCCAGTCAAGCATGTATCCACTTCGCTAATTTTGAAAACTTTGTTTTTATTTAAGTCTATCCTTTTCCTCTCTGTTTACTGGTTGTGAATGAGAGTAACAGTGAGTTTTCATGTCAGTTGAAGTAGCAACTTCAAGCAGACTTTTAGCAGAATTTTTCATTGCAGTGCCCTGTGTGAGCACTCACTGGCATGCATATGGATGCTGAGTCTTTAAGATCAAGATCCATTGAATTGCCTTATCAGTGTTATTTCTAACAATAGACATTGAAAACACATTTCAGATGATTTTTCTTTAGATACAGTAATTATACATTAAACTAATAAGCATTTTATGTTATATAAAATTTCAACAAACCAGTTCCATATGGAATTAAGATAGAATCACAGCCAAAATATCTAGCGATTCACTGATCTCAAGAAGTAAATTTCCATTATTTTCATTGCCCATTAGCGACAGAAGTACAGTTTGTTACACCTGCAATAGTTGTGCAGTTCTGAACATTCAAAAAATTGTCCGAAATATGTATGGAACAGCTGGTTAGATGCAATATTTCTTATCAAATGAATGAGGCTTGACTTTTACCTTTCAGCATAGAATGGTTCCGCAAACAGTTCCATGTAGTTCTGTGAAAGGTATCATGGGAAAAATCAAAATCCTACATGTAATATACATGAGTTTTTCAAAGCTTCTTGCAAGATTTTGAACTTACAAATATTTTGTAAACAACTTGTTATTTTATTGTGCTTTGATTAATTTTTAATAACTTCAAAATTCAGCATGGGGATAAACCACGACAATGACCACCCATCCTGTGCAGATGGTCTCCATATCATGTCTGGGGAGTGGATTAAAGGACAGAATCTTGGGGATGTTTCATGGTCTCGGTGCAGCAGGGAAGATCTGGAAAGATTTCTCAGGTATATCACTCAAGAAAAAGAACTCTTACATTTACACACAGTTGCAGGAAATATCCTGAAAAAAGAAATTTTCAATACTTCTGAATTTTCAATTTTCACTACTCCCCTTCTGTGGGGGATTTGTGTTTGCATATCTATAAAAACAATTTAAATCATCATGAACTATATAATATTTGACAGATTGGTTAAAGTCTGTTTTCAGCAGTTATTTGTATTTTTATGTTTTTGTGTGTTAATATATGATTATACTTCTATATATTTATATATACATTTTATTCATGTAAATATGTTTAAAATATATTAATATTCTATGTATTGAAAAATGTTGGACAGTGAATGACCTATGAACATTATGTAGATTCTCTGACCTGTGTTGTGCCATTCAATATCTGACACATTTTTACTGAATCTAGACAGAAATCAAAACCATGACTTGGTGCTTTAACAGATTTAAGTATTTTCAAATATTTTCTGTTCTGTTTTTGAGAAAAGTTAAATTTCTGGCTACCAGCTCAGAAATGTATATATACATCTGAACTGATTAATTTGAGGCCCTGCTAGACGTGAAAACTAAGCTTCACAATTGCCTATACATTATAAATTGTGTACTTTTTTATAATTGTTTAAATCTCTATCTAAACCTTAATCAGTTAAATAAATTTTACAGTAAAATGTTGTCCAGCGCTTTCCTGAAATTCCTATTATAGCTGGTAAGTTATATTGTCTTTCTGCAAATGTGCAACATCAGAACACATCATTAACTTATCAAGTAAGACAGACTAATTTATATGGAGTCATTTCTCTGAATGACAGCCCAACACTGAAAAATAAAAAGTATCTTAGAAGTCCACATTTTTCTAATGTCAAATGCATGTTTAAGTCGGCATGACAATCAGACTTTTTAGGATTGCTCAGCTTATTAATCTCTGCATATTGCCAGGTCAAAGGCCAGTAGCTGTCTGCTGCAGACAAATCCTCAAAGCCTCAATTCTGTGATTATTCCCTCCAAGCTCCCAGGAATGACGTACACTGCAGATGAACAGTGTCAGATTCTTTTTGGACCAACTGCTTCTTTTTGCCAAGAAATGCAGGTAAGGATGGGTATATACTTCAGAAAATACACCTACCAATTCATTTTTCTATGAGAGATATTTTTGTGGATGTGTTTGAGAGAAAGAGAACACAGCACCTTTGAAACAAGTTTACACTTCACTTTTGAAAGTTAGTAAGAACATTTTCAGTCGTTTATCTTGTAAGGCTTGCTTTGGATCTCCAAACATCCTGAACAATGTTGTATCATATCATACCACTGATAGATTCCTTGGACTTTAGACATAGGAAATTTTCATAGTGTGAAGTCACCTCATTGCAGCAAGTGGAATATTTCCATTTATTCCGCTGGGACCAGATTTCGCATGTAGATTTCATTTCATTATGTTTTGGGTATTGGGTATATCTGACCTTCAGTAGACGATGCTGTGCCTGTGCGTGCTCCAAAGGACAACAGTGTTCACTGGGCTCACTGTACTGCTGAATATACCCTGCCTCCCAGCAGTCCCCTGTGAGCCCAGGCAGAGTTGTACAGTGCCGTGCCAATAGGAGTTCCAGTACTTAAGTGAGCTTGCTGACATTGCTTCATGCCATTGCGTGAAACAGTCACTATATGTTAACACTGAAAAAACATATGAAGAACATTGAAGAAGTCTTCATAAATTTATGGCCTAATGCTTGTAGACATCTGATCAAAGACGCGTTTTAAGGATGGTTTTAACAGAGAAAACATGTTCTTCTTTAACGTTGACAGGAGAGGCACTAAAAATGTTTGATGCCCTTGAGAAGGTAGCCAGGAGAAGGTGGGTAGATGATACTACAAATGTATACAGGGCATGGAGTATGAGATGATAGAACAAGGGCTAGAAGGAACTGTGAAATAAAATTTCACCAGTCAGAGTGGACAGATAGACTGGAAAGGTTAGGAGTATTTAATATGAAAGCATAAGTCTTTACTCCTTTAGTTCTTCAGTTCTCTTCATCTTTTCAGCTTGGACATAGTATCTTTTCTCTAGCGAGTTTCAGTGAGCGTAATCTTTATCCTAAAGATTCTCAAAGGAAGCATTGCAATACATGTATGACTGCTGCATGCTGAGAGTGGCATAGCTGGAGGAAAAAAAAAAAGGAGCTCTAGGTTACTGGTTATTATTTTCACTGTCTTACTGAAAGCATTTTCATTCTGAGAGATGATCAGTAGAACTCAATGTAATGCTTCTACAAATGTTCGTAATTACTTCCAAGTGCTTTTTTCATGAATTGCAATCTGTTTCTTGTTTTTTAGTACTTTGTTTTCAATTAAAGGATGTGATTTTCATTTCTTATTCTCTGGAAACCTATTTTCAACAAGAAAATGGTACAGCATTACCTTATTATTTCTTCCTGGTCTTCTTTACCAGGTAAAACGATTACAAAAGCAGTTGAAGAGACAGTCAAACCTGGAGACTTGCTGTTGCATAATACATTTATATGCTTTTTATTTCTCTGGACGCTTCCCATCCTTTAATACCCTTGTGTTCAGTTCTAATTCAGATTCAGGCATTTAAATTCAGATAGCCAAGTGGTCCCTTGCCTGTTGTGTTTCATTCACAGATGCAGTGAATATTCTGTCGGGGTCCTGACTCCAAGCTTTCTTTGGTTTTCATTATTATTTTAGAAATTTTAGGAAGTTAAATACAGTTAATGCTACCCTGGTAGTCTTCGACTGTTTGCACAAAGAGTACTTAGACTCTGGGTGCTGGTGCCTAATTGTCCCTTTCAAATCATCTTTAATAATTTTCTTCTCTTGTGGCATTTTGTATGTAAAAGAACACATTTCGGCTAAATCACTTATCTTTTTTTTTTCCACTTAGTGGATCATTGCTTTATATTAAAATAATTTAGGAAAATTCCTGTTAAATATTAGTATTAAGATACCATTGTAACTTAAATCCAAAGATACAGGAGCTTGATTTGAAGAAAGAACCTAGTAATGATGCAAGAGAATACAAAAGGCCGGTAGTCTTTTCAACTATTCTTGCAATTTAATTTTCAATTTTCTTCATAAACAAAGTCTGGTGCTTGTTAACCTTATGGTCTTAACAGTAAGAAAAAGAGAACTTGATAACAGTTTCTGAGAAGGGGAAAAACCTTCTGTGGTTTCACAAAAAAAAACCACTGCAAAACTTGTAACCCTGAACTGGAAATCATATAAACAAATACTGAACCACAAAATTTTTGCAATGCATCTTGCAGAGCTTTGGACCTATTAGAAATGACATAAAAATGAATAAAACATACTAAGGACAGAATTGAGAAAACCTGGTGAGGGCAGTGAGACAGAAAAGTTCTCCAAAGCTCCACTACCAACCTCTGTAAAGTTACCTTGTTGGTTTTGCTCTGCATTCTTTTGTGTGGAAGCAAAATTTACACTCTCACCTTCCCCCCAACAGAAAAGTCCAAGGTGTGTTCAGATATCCTTCTTTATTTCCCTGCTGCGAGTCTTAAATTTAGCTCTTCTGTTAGGGAAGTTAACAGTATCCTAAAGAAGATTTCTACAGTGAAAAGGAAACTCAGAGCAGTGGATAGAGCACAGCCCAAAGGGTAAGAAAGCCATCCTGGTTTTACATGTGTTTCTCCTATGTATGAGAAGGAAAAAAAAAAAATATGTTGCAATTTAAATTGGACTGAGGGACCAAGCTTCATAAACTTTCCAAAAATCCTTTGTGAGTTCTAGTACATAAACTGTGCAACACTAACATCACCTAACTGCAAAGTGCTGTTAGTCAGTAGCTAATTTGATCATCTCCTCTGAAATAGGAGGATGTTAGATGGAAATAACAAATATGTTGCATTTAACATACCAAATAATTACATTCCACATATTATGAAGGTGATTCAAAGTTCACTGTGTTGATTGTGCAGATTATTGTGGCTACCATTATAGAAATCAACATTTAGTAGACTTTTCTAAATGGAATACAGTGTTTCATTAGTTACAGTATTAATTTATTAAACTAATCGTATTATTTATTATACATTGGAAACCCTTGAATTTTCCATGAAATCCAAACTACTTTTTTTTATCTCTGTATTCTCTCTTCTGCTCTGCCCATAACTGGCAGTTTATTGTGGTTACAGTTGTCCACAAGCCAGGAAATGGGAGAGAAACATACTCCTTGAAGGTTCATTTAGACTTCAGTAAATCCAACAATTTATACTGAAGATTTCTTGGATACATTCTACTTGCTGAACAGTTCATGCGCTTCAGTGTAACTATGTAAAACATAAACTATTAACTATGTCAGAGTCTTACATTTTTTGTGACTGGAAGATAATTTGATGACCAGACTTCTATGCAGTCTTTTACATTAAGCAAGTATGTTTCATATATAGCAGCTATTCAGCTAAGAAAATAATTTTCTTAATGATCTAAAAATAATCTACAAATATCAGGGTACAATCAATACTGCAATTCTGATGAGATGTAATTTTCTACAAATGATATTACTGAGCAGCGCTTTAGGATAATTTACAGTCCCATTACATGACAGGCTCTGTGAAACACTGCACATGCCAATGATTTTCACTTACTGTCAGGAATTCCTCTTTCTAATTTAATGGCTAAAGCAACAGACTGAACGGACCATTGAGGGCCTACTCCCCTATTTTCCTAAGTGGGCCCCTCCCATTCCTCCTTCATGAATGGTGTCCAGACTTTATTTTTTTTCTTTTTCATCTTTATTTCAAAGACTTTTTTCATACCCTAAGCAAAATTTATAGAGCCTGAGAAAAGTGTGAGTGAATCTCAGAATACAAGATTTATACTATGTCGCCATGCTTATCTTGTAAGGGAGCCAAGTTTCCTTTTATGCCCATGATGTCTCGCAGAAGAATCAATTAGACCCTAACATTGTTTCACATAACAGATAGTGAGATCATGGCCCAGAAGTAGTTTTTGATGATTAAATGTGATTGTAGAACTTGACAATTTAATATAATTGTTGAACTATTAAATGTTGGCTTTTAAGATTAAAGTCCAGGATGCAAATTGTCTATCTAGTCAGTTCCACTAAAACAATTCTTGTCATAACACAGCTGTGATCTTTACGAAGAGGTAGGAGACTGGTTATACTTCATGGAGATTTTTAAAGCATTTCAGGGAAAGATCACAATGAAAAGAATGAAAGTCAGGGAAATATTATAGCCCTGGTGAAGTCTGTCCTCATCTCCACCACCATACTTTAAACAATCTTGACTTTGCACAAATACAGTCTAAAATGCTCTTTTTGTCTCTGGTCTTTCCTCTCAACTGGACCTTTTCTCCAGATGCTTATGTGATTGCCAAAGCATCTGTCTAATGCACACAGACTTGCCTCAGTCTTTTCATGTAAAAAAAAAAAAAAAAAAAAATTCAAAAAGCTGGAATGACCTCTGCTATTTCTGTAGTACATTGTGACTTTCATGTTGTATTGTAAAAGCTTTTCCTGTTGAAAACTCAGGATTAAAACATTCTTTCAAAAAAAAAAGATATCCTTTGTGTGTGCTTGGCAATATTTTGTTTTCCAGTATACATGGTATGAAGTATTTTACAGATTGTGAATATTCTAAAATCATAAGTTTATAATCTCCAATAACTTACTTCCCCTAGCTAGTCTAAAAAAATGTATTGGCTATTGAACTGTGCTTATGACAGATAACTACTAAACCTCTGTGAACTTTATCTTAGCTAACCTGATTTTGACTGAATGAAACTTTCTCCCCGAAAGAGTAAATTTCTGGTTTAGAAGTTTGTGCTCTGATCTTGGATCTTGGAGTGACTGTAATATTGACACTGGCCTCCAGATTTATGTTAGTTTTCAAATCAGTCCTGATCTGCAGCATTGCAGGTTGTTACTGGGGGGGAAAAAAAAAAAAAAAAAAAAAAATTGTGCATCATGGTTTTTCCCCAGCTGCATACAGAAATCCCCAAATGACCAAAGTTAAATGGTAACAGTAATCTCTATTTCTCTTATTTCTGTGGCAGATGTACAATCTGAAGGGTAACTAAAGAGTCTATTTGTGATTTGACTGAAATGGAAAGCCCATGAAAAAAACTTAGAATTCATCTTCCAATTTTAGTAATTCCAAATCTCCATTTTATTGGGTTTGGGGAATCTCAAATTCTAGGATAAAATGTCATAGTAGTATTGAATGATTACTTTTAAAATTGATGAAGAGAAGTGAGTGGTTTTAGATTAGAGTTCGCTTAAGGCTCAGAGATGTGTCTAGCTGGAGAAGTTACATTCATGGTTCATAAGGAGGTCCTATACAAGTATTTGCAGAAAGATGCAGATGTATGCAAAGCATATTAGCAAGTCAAGTGTCTTGAGTTGATTTACTTGATTTACATAACACAGCTCAAGTGCATCTGTGTGTTCAGGTACCCAAATCCTTGTAAATCTGACTTCATGTGTCCCTAAATTTAGAGGAATTGTTTCCAGGTTTGTAAGGAAATGTAGGTTTGTTGTCAGCCATTCCACAGTCAAATGCAAGTGAAATTGAACACAAGATCAAAGTGTTTAGGAAACAAAACCACACACTTTAACATGCAATAACATAAACAAAAATTTGCCTTCATTGTTTGAAAACGTGGATGGCTTTTCCTCAAATGTAGTCATTGACACATAAAGATTTAGGGATACGAAAAATATTTTTTGAATTAGGAACGTTAAATTAGCAGACATATTTGTGGAGTTGTCTCAAAGTCTATCATTTCATAGTTGGTATGGAAGCACTTTGTCATGAACATGTGTTGTCTACATTGTCTTCCAAAACTGGCCCAGAACTCTTCTTGCTAAGTTTAGTTTCCTAGGCTCTGAAGTTATATGTTAAAGTGCATGTTTGAAAAAAAAAAAAAAAAAAAAATTCTCTTTCTCTCTTGAGAACGAAAATTACAGTTTAATATTTGAAAAATGCTTGTTAAAATTATCTGGGAACAGGTTAGGACTTCTGTAGCTGTATTTTAGGATATGCATAAGCTCTCTGTTGTCTTGTTAGTTCAGCTTCAGCACAAAACTGTTACAGGATGAATCAGGAGTGAGTCTGCTGCCATCCTGTCTGTCATTTCTGTGCAATGCAAACAATGTTTCTGTGCAATTTCTACAATCTTTTTTTGAAAGCTGATGTTACAGATATTTTTACATGCAAGACTCCCACTAGATCTGTCCTGTTCCTGACACAGTCTTCTGTTGAATTATGTTTCCTGTGCCATAAGACTTTTTTCAAGGTAGCTTAAGGTTTATCACACATTTTTCATGCATAGTGTAAAAGACACTGAAATTCTAACTGGGTTTAGCAATGAAACAAGTCATTTCAGTCAGAAAAAGCACATCTTCTGTTTTACAACCCCCCCATGACCAAAGTTCTACATAGCTTCACAAAGACCCGTTAGTCCCTGTATATAGAAATGGACTCATTTTAAAACCTTTCTTTGTTGTTGGAGACAGTACTGTTTTTCTCACTTTTACACGAAATGAATGAGCACTAAATAAAAGGAGTAAAAATATGAATTAATTCTAAAAATAAGTCCAAGAAAGCTCACACCTCTTCCAGTCTCTGGGGGAGTGCACCTACGCAGTGGCCCCTTCACGTCATGGAGCAAAGTGGTTTCTATGTGCTCTGTTGGATCAGTCATATGCAAAGACCATGACCCCCAGGGTTAAACTTAGAGGGTTCTTCCACCTCTCTGTCAACACACCAGCTTGACTTGTTGCATGTGTTTGTGATTGGTAAAAGTCCAAGAAGAATCTGCCCACTTTGGTTTTTGTGCATATTTAACCTGTCTTTAAACGTACTTCAGTACCATCAAACTGGTAACTTTATGACAACTTTATGCATGCAGAAAGTAATTTTGCATGAGATAGTTTTTGGGCTTACCTGCATGTTTTGTTTTCAGCATGTCATTTGCACTGGGTTGTGGTGTAAGGTGGAAAGTGAGAATGAATGCAAAACTAAACTGGATCCACCAATGGATGGAACAGGCTGTGACACTGGAAAGGTATGTTTCTAGTGGAAAACCAATATGAGTTATATTGAACACCTAACAGTTAAGGAAATAAGCTGAATCGGTCTTTGTACTTGTTTAAAGTTCCCGCTTCCCTCAATTATTGTAAAAATCATACTTATATAGTTAAATGTATTATATATTATTTATTATATAATACAGATATGGTAAAAAAAGTTCATTTCCCTAAAAACACTGAATTTTTGAAAAAGTTAGCTAAAACCACAGACATTTTAATATTTACATTGTTATGTTTCAAATTTGTTCTGGTTTTGTATCCTATTTATGAATGGAATGTCATTGTTGCACTGCTTACTGTAAACAGAAATATAAGCTTTCAAAGATACAAAGTTCTGAGCTATGATTTAAGATTCAGAAATAGTCTCATCAAAGGAATTGATACAGATTTGTGATAAAACTTTTGAGGATAAGGTTTGTAAAGAAATATTTATAGTGTCAGTGCATGTAAAAGAATGATAAATGTCTTTAAAAAAATGCAATCAAAGACAAATTAAATGGTCACCTGAAGTCAGACTTACATTAAATGTCCTTCAGGATATTTCCTGTTTGAATAATCTCTGTCATCTCTGTATATAACTGTAAATGAAGATAAATAACCTCAAATAGATAACAGAGCAGGAGCATGCATCTATCTTGGGATTTTCTTGGTACTGTGCTGACAGCAGCCTCCCACAGGAGTGCTTTGCTCTTTGACATATTACATTCACAAGGACTGTTGTCCTTCCCCTGAAAAGGTGAACAAATCAATCAACTGAGTAAGATAAAAGTAGTGACATGAGTCTTGGGAAAGTCCAGTAAGGAAGGTAACACCATTCTCTTTATTGTGGAGCTTACCTAGTAGGAAGTAAATAACTAGTAAGGGTAAGACAAAGTACTGATTCTAATTAGAATGGCTCATTGAGCCTTGTACCAGTCTACAGAGATACCTTATTTATGTCTCATGGTAAAAAAACTAAGCAGATATCACTGAAACATCTCAGAGGATTAGAAAGAATTATTCTTTTTGTTTACTTTTATTATCTGTCCAAGATGAGCTTCAGATTACATAAATCACTGGCTTTGTATTGTTTTACTTATATTGTAGAGATAGAGCATTGTTGATTTGTGCTCCTGTTGGGATCTTAGGAAGTGATGGAAATGTTGTTTGCATAGCCTGTGCAGCTTAGTTGTTTTTTTAAGTCAAGGATTTATAATCATCCCTCAGATGCTACAGAAGGCAGATGGTGTCTTTAGAAAAAAAAATAATTTTCCCTGTTATATCTGGAGTGTCTTTACATAAATATGAGCATTTTTGATCTGAAACGTCCTAGAGCATTACAAAATTTGGAGCCATCCTATGTGAAGACTTCTGAAAGGTAGTATAATTATGCCGTCATTGTAATGCCATGATTTAAGAGAGAAAATTAAGATCAATCAGACAGTGAAGATTGAAACTACAGGTGAAGTTTAAGATTACCAGACAAGGATTTAGCGCAGTCACTGCAAGTAGTGGAAGTGTATTCTGAGAGTGACAAAGGCCTTTATTGACTGCATTAGTAACATGTTTTATTTTGCTTAAAATAAGAGACTTCTTCATGAACGTTATACATTGATAACAGCAATTCATCAATAATTCAGAGTGCAAAGAGAAATTAGTTAAATAACTGATGTTAATGGCATTAAGTGTTCATTATCTACTTCTAGCCTTATTGCTTTGCAGTTGCTGAAATTTCATAATACATGGGACGGGTATTCAGCTGGTGTAAGCTGATAAAGTACTAGTTTCTGCAGACTTACGATGATTTATACCAGATACGGGCATAGGGTTTAAAGCGTAACAATAGGGATTGGATAGTTTTTGAGCGAGAAATCGCAGTTGTCCTAGGAAATTATATATGCATACAAGATTATTGAGGTGATTATTATTATTTAAATAAATGCCAGAAATTTTCTTGATTTTCTCAACATGAGTTTATTGAGGCTTCTACTCTGAGAATAAAAACCCATTTTCTCTGTTACTTGTAATATATGCTTCTATTGAAATAGTCACTGGATAATCAGTGACAATGCCATTCCTACTACTTATGTGGGAGCTGTAATAGTGAACCAAACAAGTCCTCAGCACAGCCCTGAACACTGTGCTGTGAATTATCTGTACAGTTCAGCTGGAGGATGATCCTTGCAGTGGGTTTGGGCTGGGTCCAAAAGTGCTTTCCTAGGCAGTGCCCAGGCTCAAATGAAGGGGACACAATGGTCTGGAGACCATTTCGGGCAGGATATTCCTGGAGGTATCCTTTATTGGGAATGAACTTGTGCTCAAGTTTGTGGACAAGAGTTGCACCTACTCCTTGGCCACTGAGACACAGAAAGGTCTCTGGCTGTTGTATTTACTAGAATAGAAAAAAAAACCTATGGGGAACAATAGGAAAAAAATATATCTGACTCCTGTGAAAATGGATGTATTGAACAAAATGTTTCTCTTGTGCTTCCCATGTGCTTGTGGAGCAGTGAATTGTTTTGCATATGCCTTGATTTATTTACCCCAAGAGCTGAATTTTCACCTAGTGGTGTAAGGCTGGAGAGTGTATCAGTCGGACCTCTTTTGCGGAGCATGTGGAGGGGGAGTGGAGCACATGGAGCTCTTGTAGCCGTACTTGCAACACTGGAATCAGCAGTCGACAACGCAAATGCCCTGGGTAAAAACAAGTTCATTTCTCCATTGCTGTTCATCGGATTTTCCAAATATAATTTAAATCTTATGAGTACAGAAAACTATTAAGAAACCCCCTCCAATACATAAACAATTCATTTTTTATGAATACTGAAAAACGTGTAGGAGAATAGGTATTTCAGGGTTTTTATTGCATTCTAACACTTTTTTTCCTGTTTTCTGCTTCTGTCAAAATCTTAGATAATATTAATGGGAGAATATAACTTTCTTTTTAAGCTTCACCTGAAGAAGCAACAGAAAATTAAATTTGTAATTTTTGACTTGCAGAGCTATAGTGGGTAATTTTAGTCTTTCAATATTTTGCTGAAGATAATTGACTTCTGTCTCATTTGGAGAGCCAAGGAATTGCAGCTTTTACAAAGACATTTTTCTACCAGCTTCGCAATACCTGGGAACATCATTTAGATTCTGTATCTTGTGAAAATGAAAACCTTGTGCCATTGGGAATAGAGTTTTACCATTGACTTGAATGGAGTCTGTTTCACCGGATCTCAGTGGTCAGCTAAAGATTCTTTCCTTTTAATTAGTCAGTATCATTCTCTTTTGTGGGTCATTTATACACTAAGAGAAAAAGAATAAATAGACAGAGAAGTGGGAACAGAATAGAGCTGAGTAATGAAGACAAGTGTAGAGAAGACTAGACTGGACCAGAGCAGACCAGAGTAGAGTAGGGTAGGGCAGGGCAGGGCAGGGCAGAGTAGATGATTTAGGAAAATAATAGAAAAAAAAGGGGAAATAAAAACAGATGAAAGACAATATAACAGATTGGGCGGGAGGGGCGGGAATGATGACAGAAAAGACAGAGGGATTAAAAAAATAGAAGTCTGCATGAAGAAATGTGAGGAAAACTTGGATAAGGCTGTGCAAAAGCATGGTAGTTTAACAGAAGCCTTAGATATGCAGAACGTTTTCATATTTCCTGCCATCTAAATGCTACTTCTAGCTGTATGTCTAAAAGCTGTTTCTAGAATTGAGGGGTGTCTTAATTTTACTTTCATTCATTAACTTTTCCAGGCAAGGTTGCAAATTATTAGCTCCAGTTTCTGCAGTTCACTGTTCTTTTGCATTTGTTCATTGGGACCTGCAAGCACAACTGGAGCAACCAAAAAGAAACAAAGCATATTGTCTGAACTGCGCAACCCCACACTTGTAAAAAAGGAAAGGAAGCAAATCTGCAGGTTTTGCTTCCTTTCAGTGGCATCTTTGACTCAGTCCAGCTAGAGAAAAATCACCTGAACTAAATCAAAACTGCAGTTGAGGTTCTTCTTACTGAACACTCCTAGTCTTAGTGCTTCTTGGGGGCCAAGTGTAAGTTATGGTTTAGCACTCACAACTCTTTGTATGCAATGTAACCAGTACAAACAGAAGGCACATTTGTTTTGTTCTGGGACTTTGATTTTTTTGTGGGTGATTTCTTAATGTTATGTGTCAACAAAAAATCTGCTATTTAAATTGAATTTCTGTATAACATAAATGAACTGCGCTTAAGTTTGACAAAACATTACCAACAATAAAGCATGATTTTTATGCTATTTTTCTAGTTCAGGCCTTGAAGGAGATTGTCATGGTCCCACGATGCAGTATAGAGTATGTGAAAATCCTTCTTGTCCTGTTGGCGTGCCTGCCTTCAGGGACTGGCAGTGCCAGGCTTTCAGTGTCAGATCTTCATATCAGAAGCATGGGCACCAGTGGCAGGCTGTCATCGATGATGGTAAGTATAAACCGTCTCCCATGTTCTTATCATCTGCTCATATGGCTTATAGCTTGTTGGTATTGTTGTTGTTGAAGAAAGTTATGGCAAAATCTAGCACAAACAAACAAACCAACCCCAAGCCCAAGATTTTTGGTAATTAATTTTTATTTTGTAGACATGGTCTAGTGGTATTTTCACACACTCTGGAATCTTTTGTGTTATGTTCCTTTGTCCTTCTTATATATACTGACTACATTTGAACTGAAATTCAGTATCAGTTTGGTCCTATTTAATCAGAAATGTGGTATGAAGTGACTCAGAAATGCAGCTTTTTAAAGGAATGCTACATCATTAAGCATGCATCTATCAGTTATATATCTACCTATAAAGCTAAAAAGATGGTACGAATATTATGAGCTTCTATTTTTGAGGAAGGAGAGAGCACTTTTAGCTTAACATTTGAGTATTTCACATATCAGTGTTTGATTTTGGCAGAAATCCATATGTAATGCATGCTGCAAACTTAGATAAGATTTCTATAAATCCTAACAGCTACTGCATGCAAAGTCCTGGCATACTGCATGCATGCTTCAATGTAACAATTTTGCTTGGATAATGCTTCATTAGACATGTGCTCAAGTAGGACTATAGCAATGTTGAAATTACAGTATCTGCAAAGATAATGGTGTAAAATATCAGCAACTAGAAAACAAAATGTAGTACTCAAGTTCTTGCCGGGAATGTGAACAATAGCTGCCATTCCACTGAATTTTCTCTAAATAGTTATAATGTAATATGTCTAATTAAAAAGAAAAAATAACAGAAAGACCAGTTATGAAAACAGTTAATTTGAGAAATTAAAAAAATCATAGCAACTGGTGATAAAGAAAGGCCTGGAGTGACATAGAAGTACTGTAAGTGTGTGTTACCACGTTTTTAAGTAGTTTACTGTTGCCATGTATATTTAGCTATTGAAACAAATTATCAGAAACCATTGGAAAGAATAGATTTTAATAGAACTATTTTGCTAAATCACGAAAAATGTGAATTTATTGTCGAGAACTCATTTTAATGTATGCCTGGCTAAACAAGGAGTCTTTTTTTCTTCTAAGCCTTTTCTCAAGGTCCTAAAGTGAAATCTTGTGACACTATTTTCATTAGGCTTGTAGGTTAGCTCATTTTGTAGTAAGGAGAACTCTCTCCAGCTATTTTACAGGTGCTTATCTAGTGAATTAGTTTTGGTTTGTTTTACTAAATTTCATTGTAACACAGGAACACATGATTTATATCCTAAGGGATCAAAAGGTTTCAATCTGATTTTGAATAATTCAGTCATCTGATGAAACAACTTGACACTCTCCTATCCTGTGTTGAGGACTATGGAGAGTTGCTTTCATCTGACTTTGTTCCGAGACATCTTGTTATCTTGATGTGTCCCTCAGGAGACACAAAAGTGGACACCAGCTAAAGACTTCCAGTATTATAGAAAACATTGATCCCAGATCTTAATTATTTGCACTCCTAGCCTTTAGTAGACACTGATTGTGTGATGTCCAAAATAGTTGCTGCTTTTGACTGAGGTCTCTTATAGTCTGTTGAAGTTTGTTGAATTACTGTCTCTTTGAGTTCAGTATCCTTAAAATAATGTTTAGATTGTTAATCTTGTATTCCTTTAAAAAATGTTGATATATGCTTAAAGCTCCCAAGGAACGTTGGGATTGCTATTTAAGGAGCATACAGGAATGCAGAGGGCACAAACTCAGGCAGACACTGACACTTCTCCACAGAGATAGCTTGTGTCTGACTAGCTTCACATGTTGATAAAAGAGATCACATTTGTTTGCACCAGTCCACTAGAGATACCCAGAGGCTGTGTCAATTTTGGTAAAAAATGTGTCCAGACCACTCTCTGACAGGTACGTCAGCTGGCACAGAAGTCATGTGTCCATATTTTTCAATGCTTTTGCACTCTAAAAAGGATGGTGAGGTCCAAACTGCTTTTTGGAAATGGTCCTTTGCAAGTGACAATTTCCAGTCTAGACTGAGCTAGTGCTAGTTAGCATATGCAAAAAAATGTGGCACAGATTGTTTTAAAGTTCAGCTGTACAGACAGTAGAATTCCGGTGCCCATGGACATTTCCTGGAACTGTTTACTTTGCTAATAAAAATTCACTCCAGGAATCTAGAAGTCAGTATGAAGTTAAGAGTGGCGTAGAATGTGTCCAGGTGAAATCAGTTTCAATTTCAGATGGACTTTATCCTTTCAAAAACCAGCAACAGATTTAGGAAGAAGTTCTGACTCAGTACACTTGGGAATAAAGGTATGAAGCAATCACCTCATTTTGTACTCCGTTGACCACTGAGAGGAGGCTTAGTTTATTTTATTTGGTATTACTTTGGCAGTGTTGAAGCAAACTTCATAATTTATAAATTATGACCATTAGGAATACATGGATATATAGGATATTTTACTTTTTTATTATGTTTCAAAATTAGAAATTATTTTCAGAATGTTTTAGAAATGTAGTAGAAAATTGCCTGACCTTGGTAAAGATGTCAATTTTTGAAAGAATATGTTGGGGGGTTTTTGTGGTTTTGTTTTTTTTTTTTTTTTTTTAAAGTGGACTTTGTAAATCTATATATTTTTCTTCCCAGGCTTTCTCAGTTACTTAATTTTTTTCTCTTTAACCTGCATAGTTAGAAAATCTGGAAAGTGTTAAGCTTCTTTTTTAACTAATATTTATGATCTGCCAAAGATATAGTAGAATAAAAATATAGATTACAAGCAAAGTACTCCAACAGCTGTAATGTGCATATTCTTAATTGCAGCAATGAACCTGACATGAGTACTATGTAGGTCAATTTTATAGCACCAGTATGCTCTAGCAGGAAGAAGAACTTGAGTTTTTCAAACAGCTGAGAAAAGGGTCAAAATGTTTTTATTTGCACTGTATCTAAGATAACTTGTTATGCTAACATAGTTTCATACCACACAGATAAGAAAATACCAGTTTTAAAAAGAATGTTGATAATAATTGTGTATTTGTTAAGTGACCTTTTACCAATTTAGTGGTTTTCCATCAATTGCTACTACAGAAAAGCCATGTGCCTTATTCTGTTCACCGGCTGGGAAGGATCAACCCGTTCTTCTAACAGAAAAGGTGATGGATGGGACTTCTTGTGGCCAGCATGGGTTAGATGTCTGTGCAGATGGTAGATGCCAGGTATGAATTACTTGTTTAGAACCTGGATACGCAGGTACCCATATGCATGTGCATACATTTGTTACGCATATGTATTATTTCTCTGATAGCCTGTTGCAGTACGCGTGACCAAGACGAATGGCTCTTCTTGTATCCTACTAAAATATTTTTAGCTAATTTCACTCAGTGCAACACAGCATGTGAAACAGCTGAAGGGTTAGCTTGGGGAGTGGGTGTCTGTGATTATAAGGATAGTTATAACAAACTGCTGCAGAGTGGAAAGTGAGTATAACTGATTTCATCTTCTAAGAGAAGCCTCAGCTTTCAACAGGTTGGGAAATTTTGCAATGGAGTGTACTTGCGTATGTCTAACTCTGCCTTTTTCAACAGTACAAAATTTTACATCTGAATAAACCATGATCAAAGGAGCAGAATAACAGATAATTAAAGCTGAGTGCATATTTTATTCCTGATCCTCAGAATTCGTTTGCTTCATAGAACTTCTTTTGTCACTTTTAAAGGCCTCATATGGAAACTATTCTATATAAAAATACCGAGGGCTGTTTTTTTTTCTTTGTCTGCTTCTCAGTGCACAAATTTAATTCAGTAGAAAATACAACCTTTAACACAGAAACAGCATTGCTAGATACTGTAATAACTTCAACAAACTGACTTACAGATGCATACATACAGGTATCTGTGCATAAAAATATGTATGTATAGTTAACCTTTCTCAAGTAACTGAATGTGTGTAACAGGAATACTCTTAAGTACTTTGCTGAATTGGGGCTTTAATTCACCATGTAACAATTACAGGTTTAATTGCAAAGGCAATATATAGCCCATTTTTCCTGAAAAAATGTCGTTTGTTTTGTCATTCACTTTTCACAACTGACTGATAAAGACCAAGAAAAAGCCTTAAACCAAACCCACCTGACTAGGACTGAGTTGGCCTCTTGGCATGTCAACATTCAGATAGGTGCTAATCAGCTTTGAAAGTCTAATTTGTAATTTTTACCACATTTTACCATGTCTTCTTAGACAACCCATTAGGAAAAACTGGGGGCTACAGCTGTAGAGTTAGGTATTTATATTAGTAGATGTGCAAATTTTGATACAGAGCTCTTTGTATGCTTATGCTGTAATCAGCATTTTGAAATCTATTGCTTTTTTAAGTAGAACTCTAATAAGAATTCTGTGCATAAAGTGAAGTAGCAGTCTTAATGTGCTTGGAAATGAGTGGCTCCTTGATAGACTGTGGTTTCTGTTCTCAATTTTCTCTTTAACCTAGCTTTTATCTTCATTATTTATCAAAAAATCATGAAGTTCAATTGCTTTTATCAGATACACAAGATTACCCTGTGATGACTTCTCTAGACTTTAAAAGGCTTTTATTTCATATCAGGCCAGCATATGATATTAACTGTACTACTGTTGTCAAGCTGCCACGGATATTTATTGATACAAATGTGTCTAACATAGTAATGTGGCAGTGCTTGAGTAAAATTCATTTGTTTTAAACTGAATGCTTTTTAGCAAAACACAAAAACAATTTTTATTTACTTATTCCAGATGTGTTCACACCCTGTTCAGAGTAAGACATTAGGTTGACACTAGACAGTTCTTTCCCATTGTGGATGTGGCAAAGGACCTCCCATATTTTGAGTAGAAAGCAGTAGAGTTGCACATTGCCGTCGCTGAGCAGGAGGACCTGTGGGGTGTGTGTTGCATAGTGGCTCAGAAGTGCCAGATGTCCTAGGGGGAGATGGGAACACAATTGTGTTTGTCTTGGAGAGCGGCTGGTAGAGGTACCCAACCATACAGGAAGAGCGAGTGCAACAATCTACATAAAATCATAGAAGAAATTACTATGGAAGGGATCTCTGCACACGAAGTAGTACAACCCTCATTCTGAGCAGGGCTAGATCATGTTGGCTAGGGTGTCTTGAAAAAGGGTGAGATACTTCTTCTAAAGGCAGCTTTATGAAAATGTGGCCTGTGTCTCAACAGCTTTATTTTCTTCTCCGGCAGAAATTTGGCTGTGATGGCATATTGGGATCTCTGGCTCGTGAAGATCATTGCGGTGTATGCAATGGTAATGGAAAGTCATGCAAAGTTATTAAAGGTGATTTTAACCATACCAGAGGAGCAGGTAAGTTTGTTTATTTCAAACGCTCAGGAAACCAGTAGTTGTTTGATTACTTTGAGCATATACTTATTAAAATTACACAGTTCCTCACAAGAACTTCAGATCTACTTTTATTGAGATAATAAGACATTTAAGATAGGAATGCATGAGTATTTTTAAATTTAATTGTTGCAAAAGTATTGCAAATTATTTTGATTATAAAATTAAGGAATTATCTAATTTCTCTTCCCTTAAGACACACATTATTACATAGAAGAGCCTGATTTCTAAAAAATATGTGAAATAAAATTTATATTTTTAGTAAATAAATGAACTGTAAATTCTTATAGTATTTAGATTCATTTAGTGTTCTTCAAAATAAATATCCAAATTATGATCTGTTACCTAGAGTAATTAAATCAAGACAGGTAGTGGGAGAACATAAAGCTGAATGTGTGAAAAAGTGTTATATCTTTTCATTATTCATTGTTTTATACTGGTAATAACATATCATAAAAACCAGATAGATTTTCTGATGCAGAATGAACATGAGATTTTGAAACACTTCTGTGATCTTTTCTTTGAATTAGAATAATTGACTGGTTCCAACACAATAGTGTTGACAGAGTAGACGATTGAAATCCTAATAATGTGCACCTTGCACCTTGTATACCTTCTGTCCAAGAGAAGTCTTTTCTTTGAAACGCATTTGGCCAACTGTTTTCAGCATTTGTTTGCCATTACCCTTTCAGTTTCTTCAGTAGAAAATGTTCAGAATGTCAAGACAGTAATTAAATCACATCAAAAAATACTGTGATTAGAAGCAGACAGTATATCTTAAAAAATCAAGGACTTCAGTGCACTATAGACTGAAGTATAGTACCTTAAAAAAACCCCAAAACCTTAGGCATAGTCTTCAGATGTTTATGTCTGGCCCTTCCTTAAGCTGAAGGTAATGTAGAGCAGTGATCCCAAACCATGGATGAGTCTGGAGGACTACAAGATCGAAAACTACAAAGAAGGTGTCTGCTAATAGAAATTACAATGTATCATCTCTCTTTTATAGCCAATGTGAATATCCACACACTTTCAAGTGTATTTGGTGTCAAGTTTATTTCTGTGTAAATCCACAATATTGTGGTATTGCCCTCTAAACAGCTGCGCAAGTTGTTTTCCTTCTCCAGAAGCTGGACTGTCAGCAATATTTAGAAAGTGTTATTAGCTCTTAAGGAAATTAAAGATAAATAATGCTGCTTTGCAGCAATTTAATTTTCATATTCAGTGTTTTGTTACAGAACATTACATAGCTACACAGAATAAAACCTTGGTTTACTGTCCGCTTTTTGAAGTGCACTTGGATAATC